ATCTATGCATTTAGGTAAGTCATTAATGTACAAAATAATATAAAAGGACCCAGTACACTCCCCTGTGGTACTCCAAATTTAACTTCACGCTCTGACGATCGAAATATTTCTTCCTTCTTATTTGCTATGTTAATTTATTTAATTTCAGTTATTTGTTTTCTATTTTTTAAGTATGATTCAGATAGGATAATGTACATAATCAAATGCCTTGGTCATATCGCAAAATATGCCACAGACATATTTACGTTTATCGAAATTGTTAATAATATTGTATATAAAGTCATATATGGCCATATTGATTGTCCTGTGTGGTCTAAATCCTTTTTGTTCCTCACACAAAATGTTATATTTTTCAATAAATTTATACATTTCCTCATATATATATATATACCTAGTCATGTCATAAATTCTGTCATATGTTAATATAAAATAATCGAAACAAGTTTATTCATTATGTAACCATTTATATACCAAAATGAACTTAACAAAACATAGATTCTTATGACACTAAAGTTTATTCAAATGACCTCCGTGATTTTGAATACAGGCCTTCAATCTGCGCGGCCAGTCGTCTATCGCAGCACGAACGAGGTCCATGTCAATATCGGCGGCTGCCTTAATCAAGGATGTCTTGAGTGACGCCAAATTGGGATGAGGCTTTGAGCACGCCTTTTCCTCCAAGTGTTGCCATATCTTGTAATCTAATGGATTCAAATCTGGACTGGAGGAGGGCCAGTCTTTGTGCCAGATAAAGTCGATTTTACGCGCCGCCAGCCAGTCTTGTGTGCTCTTCGCTCTATGAGCTGGCGATTTTTACACCTTTCTCACAAAAATGTACCTCTGTTAAGCCCCAATAAGAAACTCCCAACCATACCATGAGCGAGGATGGAAAATGACCTCGTTGGACACGCGGAATACGGTTGCTCGCTTCTTCACTACTGTGTGCGTACACCTTATCATTTTGTTTGTTGTAGCTCTCTTCTACGGTAAAAATTTTTTCATCCGAAAAAAGAATTTCCCGATATTTTTTTCCCGCGTACCGCTTCAACAAAGCGCGGCATCTGTTCAGTCTCAGGTCCATTAGACGAGCATTCAAACGATGTCCTGTTTTTCTTCGATATGCTCGAAGCCCTAAGTCTTCATTTAACACCCTTTTCACCGTGGTTCTGCTTAACAGTTCTGCTTACGTTTGGGATTTCTTTGAATTCGCGCCTTCACAACTTTTATCACTGCTGGAGTCCTAACAGACCGAGGGCGGCCACTTCTTGACCTGTCAACTGCACTAGAGTCTTCATTGTATCGTTTGATGGTACGATAAACGATTCTTTTGGTTATATTCAAATTTTTCACTATGTCATAAATTTGAATTGGCGCGTAACCGCAACGATGCAACACAGTAACTGCAACACGGTCTTCTTTAAGCGTTCACTCCATATTTAAAAATGAGTAAAATTCTAAAAAGTATACAGTTTTATTTTCATGAACAATTCGAAATTCGAATTCAATAAACTTTTTTGTGGCCAGCATTCTAAAAGAAAAGTTTTTACTGTGTGACAATACTTATGACCTGACTAGGTATATTTCTCAAATATTTTTGAAATTACTGGGATAAGTGCGATGGACCGATAATATTCTATTAGTTCTCTATTTTCTTTCTTAAATAAAGGCTTTATAATTGATAGATACCTGTGCTAATACTTAGGTTAATTAGATGACTTAGATGTCCGCATATTTCCATTGATATGTGTTTTAATATTTTTGTAGCAATGCCATCGTATCCCACGATATTTGTATTATTTATCGACGTTATTATTTTGTGAATATCTAATGGAACTAGGCGGCATGAACATAGACTTATTGTTAGTGTTTATTTTAAAAGATTGAAGTTTGCTGGTGATCTACGTTGTCTGAATTTTATCGATAAAATAGTCATTAAATATTTCAGCGATGCACTAAGGATTTGATAGAACTGTGTTATTTACCTTAATTTTATTAATACAATGTGTAAGCAAGTTGTATTTTGCTCGATTATTAATTTGCCAAGTTGTTTTAGACTTATTTTTAAATGTTTTTATTTTGTGGTTTGTTTTGTGCCTTTTGTGTCAATTGAATATTTTTTTTATGTAACTGTGAATAGTTTAGAAATCGAATTCTATTCTTGCTATTAGGATTTAATCTTAAATGAGTGAAGATTTCTATAATTTCGTTGATACAAATTTTTATAATTTTTGTACCTGTGTCGTCATAGCCCGCAGAATTAGTATTTTTAATGACATTGTCTCTCTTTTAACTTCGTCTTTCGACATAGGTTTGAGAAACATAGAGTTAATATGATAACTATTACTTAGTAAGTTTTTTCTTTTTGTGTGTGTTGTTCTGTGTGTTGAATTAATATAGAGATTGTTAAACGCAGAGGCTATTTCTATTGGGTTCGTGATGACTGCGTTATTAATTACAATTTTTTCTATGCTATTTTTGCTATGTAAGCTACCTATTTCATTTTTAATAATGTTCCACGTGGCCTTACACTATTATTATTATATATTACTATATGTTATTAATATATAATATAAAAAATATTATACCGGATGCCGATTTAATCATCTACAATATTTATGGAGGTGAAACAGTAAACGATACTGTACCGGTACCAATAAAGAAATCGTCTGGGCCTGTGTCGGATCACACGTTCGTTGGTTTTAACATGAAACATCTATATTAGCCAGTCAACAAAACAGCCCTTTTTAAAAATTTTAATATAATTGTACAACACCAGGAGAATTGCAGATGCGTTGCCGGCCTTTAAAAAAGGAGTAAGCTCGTTTCTTGAATGTCCCTAAGTCGTATCGGTCCATAAAAATAGCCGTTGGTAAAAGATTCTTAAGAAAACTCCTAATAAATGGCGCGGTAGTGGACCGCCAAGCATCCAAATGATGTGGATGGTAACGTAAGTATTGTCACGATGTGTGTTGGTGAAATTTGGTGGCTGGAATTAAATTGAACAATTCCTCAGCGTCCTCAGAGCACTCCCCCTGTTAAATCGATAGAAAATCGAGCCAATCAAAGAGAACTCGGTCGTCGACGATTCGAGCCGCTCTGCTCTGCAGTCAAGTGGAAGGAGCTCGCACTGTGGAGCCTCGGCCCAGAGATGAGAAAAGTATTCCACGAACCTGCGCTTGTAAAGTTACAAACGGTCGCTATAGTTCACTGTTCTCGATAGTGTCCCTCTCTACTGACTACTCCAAGCTTTTTAGAAGCGAATTTAGCTTACTCTTACAAGAGACCATATTACTGCAGGTCATTCTATATGTCGACGCCGAAGATTCCGCTATTGGCTACGGCAACAAGGGAAGTACTGTGAAATCGAGGAGATACGACAAAGGTGTTTTTTAACGTTAAACGCGCAAACTTGTGAATTTGTATAATAATTTATTTTGTAACGACCTTTAAGTTCAATGCTTTCCTAAAATATGCTAGATTTAAAGTGTATTTTTGTAAAAGAAACGAATTTGAAAAACATGAAGGCGCTCTCTTATTGGATTTGACGTTTCGCGATGTGCCTTTGACGCCGACCGATCAATCATATGCTATTATTATAGCGTCAAATAGACCTAGTGACGTCATCCAAGATACTACAAATATGACTGTTGTTTGAAATTATTCTTAGTTATTGAAAATTAAATATTATATTTCATAACATTTCATTTCATTCATGACGTTCTTTATAACTTACAACGTTTAAATGAATTTTTAGTGTGATGGGAGTCATAGTTAATAGATTTATACAATAAATAAGCATGCATATTCCCTATTATTTTATCTTAAAGCATTCCAAACTTAGTAACCTTCAACAACATTATCGATAGGTACTTTGATGTCGAAACGGTAACATTCCTGAAACGGGGTTTTTAACCTACATTTAGTAGCGTCACCTACTGGAGAATAGCTAAAATATTTTTCTAATAAATATTCTGCGTAGTTTTGCTCTGTTTATATAGAGGACGCGACACACGCGCGAGCTCAAAGTTTTTGTATGAAAACGTTCTCCACTCGTATGTCCGCTCTATAGTATACCTATATATATATTTAAATCTCTTTGATATAAATATAATACGGTTTGTATGTCGTCATCATTGTCAACACAGTCCAAGTCCATCGCAAAACAGAGGCCTCCCCAAGGAGTACCACAAAGCACGGTCCTGTGCTAGCAGCGTCCACCAATTTTTTGCATCTTATACGATCTCGTGAGTTGTTCGACGAGGAAGAAATATTCTCGAGTGGCAGCCTTTTATATATACCGGTAAGCGAAATGTAGGGCGGTCACCTACTAGTTTGTATGTATTTACATATAAATGTTTGCTTATTTATTTTACTGTCTTTTTTTTCAAAATGTTGGTCTCTAAAATCAGCCGGTTGGTCCGATGCTCCCCCGCTAAATATACTAGATTTGATCAGAAAAATAATTGGCTGATTAATCTATTGGGTTGCGACATCTTTTGTACAATTACACTGGAGGGAGGAAGGATTAGGTGCCGTAGGAGTAAGATTACAATGCGAAAGCATTTAAAAACAACCATAAAATATTTATAATAATCATACTGTATACATAAATAAACCATTTATATTTATAAACAATTAGAGGAGGTACATTATATGGATTTGATCTAAACAGTTTTCATCTTTCGTAATGCATAAAATGGCAAAAGGAATAGTATGCCGCCGTCTTTGTTTCCTTCTTGAGGAGTTGTCTTCTCCCGAAGAGGGGCTAATGTGGTGATCGGCACTGGTGGGGCACGTTCCCGTGGCCCGTGGGGTTTTAGTCGGTGCGTGTCCGACATAACCGGAAATGTGGTAAAAAAACCGCCAATTTGAATTATAATATGTTTACATCATTTCGAATCGCACATTATAGAATCGCACTGCAAACTTTTAATTTAGTCAATATTACCGTATCGACTTACGATATTAACTTATATTATAAACCGATTTATTTACTAAGGTTATTTTAATATGCACAAAGGCAGAGGTTCACAGCCGTGGCATTCCGGTGGTTTATACGCAAAACAGTTTTCTTCACCGACGCATGGGTGATCCTTGCACACGTCGAACGGAGTCAGACATGACCTGTAAGCTAAATACAGAATAATTGTTATTAGATACCTCTTAGGTACATATAATCAACTTTATATAAAATAAATAATTTATAATTTGAAATAAAGTAAGGTAGCTGGTGATACATGACAGTGATGTACGTCTTGTGGTGGTGGCGTCTGAGAATCTGTAACTCAATTTCGTTTCCTGAGTGTGTCGGAAATGTCAGAAAATCTTATAGATTCCATAGATATATCATGGTGGTATATCATCTCATTTATATTCAGACCGGCAACAGGAAGGACTCAGGTGTGAGACGTCTGATCGTCAATCTGGTTGCTAAACGTGGAAATTAAAGCAAATCCTCCCTAAACGGCAGGAGCCCAGCGGTGGACTTTTACGGGCTGATGATGGTGATGTTTGGTCAGGGATCTTTTTTAATAAAACTGAAGTGACAAACGAACTTCAGTCGACCTGATTGTAAGTGACTACTGCAGTCAATGGACACCTGCAGCTAACCTCAAACAAAGAACGCTACAGATGCGTTGTCACCTTTGAGGAATAAGATGGTATATGTACCTCATGGTTATATTTATGCTATATCTCTATACAGTTCAGACAGGAAGAAAGCAGTACATTTTTTATATGTGGTAGAGACATGCTGCAGCTATATTAGTAGTATAGTTGTAGCACGAATGGGTCGGCTCGACCGGGAAAGGACCACGCTCTCACAGAATACCAGCGTAAAATAGCAGCTTAAAACTGCTGTGTTTCGTATGGTGAGTGTAGAGAACCGGAGATCCTTTTCACTGGAAAAGAGGCATTCCATCTTAGTCCTTACGGGTGATAATGCATCTGCTGTTTGATTCGCAAACGAGGATAGATGTGGATGTCTATGGGTCACAGCAACCACTTACCATCAGGTGGACTGTGCGATCGTTTATCACCCTATCCTATAAAAAAAGTACAAGTACTGTCATTTGGCGTCAGGAATAGATAAGTAGGTGGTATCAACCCAGACGGACAACTAGGTAGAAAAGGAGTTCCATCACCGTGTGAAAGCTCATTAGATCTTGTCTAAAAATTGACTAGTAAGCAAGGAACACTGCAGCACCGTCACAATGAAATTGTATTATTATTATAACCTTCTCAGTTTAGTTACTTTAACTTTACCTTTTAATAATACTCTAGTATATTGCAAGTTGGTATGAAACTTTCAAAATTAAAAAAAATACTAACTATCGACACATTCTCCATCGAAGCAACATCCGCCGCAGCATTGTTCATCATCACTGCACTGGAAATAAATAGAATGTGTGATTATAAGACCAATTCTCATAAAAAAAAAACTATTACTATATCTCCTGTTTAGGCCCAAACATGGTCATTTGAAACGGCATCCAATCACCTTTGACTTAGCGAATCGCCCGATGGTGTGAGGTAACGTGCGCGTCGCTGGGAGGGGGGCAGCGGTATGCAGCCTCCCGGCGTTCGGCGCTCGTGAGCGAGGTCTGTAGCTTGAGAGCAGCGGCGCAGTCGATTAACGTATTTTGTGGCGACCGCTGCAGCAATTTCGCGCGACCAGTTTTGGTATAGTTTGTCGGTTGTAACGCTGAACTTTGTGACTCGAGAAGAGATCGCGTTCTTGTTCGTGGTTATAATCTTGTTGCTACGTGAAACGGAAGTGAACTTTGATCCACCGTTTATTGGTCGTGCCGTGTGTTAAGTTAGTAAAATGTATAATAAAGTTGATAGACTGAAATAGTGAAATGAAGAAAGAAGTTGTCAATTGGTGACACCTGCTGGAGTGATGCAGCATTGTGGGGCAGCATGGGACCAGATCGCTGCCCGATCACCTCAGTTAGGTCAGGTCTAACATTATAAACACTACTACACACCACTTACATGCACCTACACCTACCTACGGCCTGACCGAGCCTTGGGGCGGTCTTAGCTTCGGAACCAGGTACGTACTATTTGTTTACCTAGCCTTATATTTATTGCGTAGAATGATAAGTCTCCATAGGCCGTTGGGCTCCACCCTTAGTTGTTCGTCGAATCTACAGCTGTATGGGCCCCTATTTGGTCGACTTTTGTTGGGGCAGCTAGGGGCGTGTGCATCTCCCATTTTATTTACTGTGGATAAAACTAAGCGAGGGGATAAACATTTTCTTTTTTCTCCGGGGATAAAATTGTCTCCTGCCCGTGCTAGACGTGCAGGTGAACTGTGTGCTCATTTGTCCCTCTTACCTGTATAAAATCCCTGTATGGTAGCAATAAATTCGTAATTTATAATATGTTTATAAAAGCAACAGTAACAAAAAGGTTAAGGGTATGGTCCGCAACTTTAAAGCCGTGGGAACCTGTCGTAAAGCGCTCATTACACAAGTTTTTCTGATTCCACTTGAAGTCATTTGCGGGGTAAAAGTAATGTTATTAACATTGTTGATATTTAAAAAAATAACAAGAGTTTAATTCTTCAAGAGAAGCAAGAGAAGACAATTTTTCACTATCAAGAATTCCGTCTTTGAGAGATACCCCTTTCTTACTTATTTTGGGTGCCAAGCAGCAGTGTATCAACAGCTGTATTTAATCTAGAAAGGTATGAAAAGCCAGGTTGCTTTTCATTATATAGCCCTCAGAAGTAATAATGCAGAGTTATTCATTGTATGAATTTGCCCTATACTAGACCTACCCGTTAGTATTTACCCGTTTAACACTATATTATTATTTAAAAAAAAAAACTTTATTATGGCCTAACTGAATGTGTTCGAATCTCAAACGGTGGGTGACAATATGTCGAAAATTTAAAAATCTATTTATGGAAATAATTATACAAGCAAGGGCGATAAACGAGTACATAGTCCACCTGATGGTAAGTGTTTGCTGTGGCACATAGATATCTACATCTATCTTCGTTTGCGAATCAAAATGCAGATGCGTTGTCAGCCGTGAGGACTAAGATAGAATGCTTATTTCCAATAAAAAGGGTCTCTGGTTCACTACACTCACCATACGAAACATAGCAGTATTAAGCTGCTATTTTACGCTGGTATTCTGTGAGAGCATGGTCCTTACCCGGTCGAGCCGACTCATTCGTGCTACTACTATACAATTAATATAGCTGCAGCATGGCTCTACCACGTATAAATTTACCTGCACCTCTTAGGACTGTTATGAAATACCCCGTTAGCAATAAAAAGGGTTTCCTGCTCTCTATACACTCCATACCATACTTCACACTTCCTGTTGACCTGACATTCGTGCTGATGCTGAGGCTATAACTCAGCGACAGCGTGGCTTTACCACGTGAGTACCATGTCTGATAGAATAATGTGCATCATTGTCGCTAAAATTAGATTCTGATTAATTCATTACCCAGTTTAAAGATTTTGTTTTACGTAACGCTCACACTAGGATTTTCTTCTATATCGTGTAGCCAGTTTATAAACATACATTGCAAAAGGACAACATCTAGACCCGGAAAAATGATTTGTAGGCCATACAAATACATGTTCCGTGTGGAATTTGAACCCGCGACACTCAACGCCGTAGCTCAAGTTAAGTGATCGCACTACGGAGCCTTCAGTAGCTTAGTTTAGTTTTAATAAAACATGATGATGATGTGTTCAATTCAATTCAGTTCTAAGCCATAACATAAAAATAAAAAATAAACTTATAGTATGTAAGTTGTAGTACAGGGACTAAGCCTTCACCGTTATAGCACACCGAACTATTCAAGTTCCAGGCCCACCGGCAACAAAATGTTAATTGCTATTTTAAGCGTTAATTTACATCTGCATGTTTGAGCCATAAATATTTTGAGAACATGTGAAATCCACAAGCACTAGAGCAGGACAACGGACTATGTTCTTCAAAACCGTCTAAGAAATAAGAGGCGGTCTGTACTCAGCAGTGGGAAGTAGGCTGTAAGTTTTGACGATATTTATTTATAATCTAATTAAGTGCCATACAATGCAACTACAACTGTGCGGTGGCGTAACATAATCTATTCATAGGAAATGCCATACACATCTCATGTCCTTATTATCCAGTCTCGCGAAGGGGAGCAGTATCAAAGATACGACACATCTATTTCAACGATTGCCAATCAACTTGCTGAACATGGCCATTAGGGCAAGTGCTTCCTACAATGGGAAAGGCCGTTATATAGCAGTGGACATTTTGATGAAGATGGTCGAATGGTTAAGGTAACAGCCGATTTCGACTATGAAGTCTACTCGGAAATTATAAGCCCTATCTTTCTCGCCTAATTGTATCCAATGTAACGATTATTCTATGAGACTCGCAAGCGGGATCTGAGACAGACTCGAAAATCAATATTATGTGTTGAATTTCAAAAATCGAGTTCGCTTAGGATACGAAACAATTACACACTTTCACTAGTTATGTACTCTGTCCACTAAGCATCATAATCGACCTAAACCTTAACCTTGAAAATAAAATTACAACCTAGGCTACACACGTTTTACTTCTGGTCACTGGGGTCCTCTCATATCTGAAAGGGCTATGGACCGATTAGCTCGCCGCGCTACTTCAGTGTATGTTAGTGAGATCTATATAAATAAAATGATAGAGGTTTGCAGTTGTGCGCGTCACGGAAAAACCACTGGATAGATTTCAATTAGGTTTACTAAGTTTTATTTCTTAGACATTTGGCCCTTATCTAAAAAAATATTGCGATACCTTCATTTAATACAAAGTTATTAAAAATTTTAAGAAACAGCGACTTTTCTAAGCACCACGTGTTCGGTGATGTGTGTAAGCAACGCGGACGAAGTCGCGTTGCTTACCTCCTGATGGTAAGTGGATGCTGTGCCCTATAGACATCTACATCTAACCTGAATTAAGAATTAAAATGTAGATACTGGGTATTCTATGAAAGCGTGATCGAGTCCCTGGTTCAGCTGATCTACTCGCTAAATATAACTTCAGTTTGGCTTTACCAAGTATAGCCACTCTGAGCCACGCCTGTAAATAATTTAAACATATTAACATAATATTAATATACCTTTTTTCCGCGCACTTTGCAGTCTTGTCCACTCACATCAATCACGAACAGGTATATCAGCACAAAATAAAACTGCATTTCTCTGGACCGGTTCGTTGGACTTTTAAAATAAACTAAGCAAATTAGTAAACTGTAAACCGATTCAGATAAACGATCGTCACGCCGCTGATTGCACGCTCAGGTGTCCTCGGGCATTATGCTGGTATTGTGACCGAGTTAACTCAGCTGCACGCGGTAACTACTACGTAACACGATAACAAATAAATCATGCACGTATACACAATGTAATTGCTATGCATATATATATATATATATGTATATAATACAAAACAACTATATTTATAAGAAATTACTAATCTAAAACGATCCGCAACGTCTGAATTCAACGTTATTGCGACGCGTAATTGGTAGCTGCTGTTTGTCACTAACATCGATATACATCTAGACAAGATTCGAGATTTGTTTTCCGTTATTGAGTCTCCGAGATTATTCTGGAATCTCTTTTAGTTATTTTCACACCTTTTTTGCTACTGCTTTTCGCAATGTAACGTCTATCACTGTACGTAATGAATGCATATTTGATGCCCTTTATTACATTGATTTATATCCAAATTAAAAAGCTCTACGGAACATAGAATGATGCGTATTTGTTTTTAATTGATTTTTTACTTATATTTTTTTATTTGAATTATATTTTTGATGGATTTATATATTTTACATGAATGAAAATAACCCTGGCAATGAGGTGGCAGCCAACATGCTGGTTCTATTAAAATTCTTATAATAATTGTACAAAGATGATCGATGCCCCTCTTGGCTGAAGAGCTTGGTCCGAAGGGACCATTGTCTGATCCGGAGTGTGGTGCCACTCACGCTCCCCTCGCAGTTGCGTTCTGCAGGTTGCCGCCGTGTTTGGCATTACAGGTCGGCGGATTGGGACGGAATGCGATCTTTCTTTGCTTCCTACCCATGGGGGCGGGTTTGCTTCTCGCCGGATGATCCCAGCGCTATTGCTGACTCTGCCACTGATGTGGTGCTACAGGTAATGGAACTATTTATTCCATCATCTGTGGTACCCATCGAAGGCAGAACTCAGCCTTGGTTTGGTCGCTCCTGTAAGACTGCATTACGCAGTAAGCAGGAGTGTTATCAAGCCTGGGCTGCAGCTTTGGTGACTTGGGATGTAACCACCAGCATACTTAAATAGAAGTATAACTTCGCCTCCAGGTTCTTCAAAAGAATTATTGCCAAGGCAAAGTCAGAGCACATAGGCAGAATTTGCGAGAAACTAGTTCGCCTTCCTTCGGGAACCCGTGCAATCTGTTCTCTCGCCAAGGCTGTCCAAGGGAATTTCTGTAAGCCATCACTACCATCTCTGCACAGGGAGGACGACTCACTGGCCCACGACGCAAAAGAGAAAGCCAACCTTTTAGGCCCCTTTTTGCGTCCAAGTCAACTGTTGATGACGGGGGAACACACCGCCGACCATCCCGCGGTGTGAGTGCTCCATGTCGGATGTGCGGTTCTCACAGCGCTCGGTTCGCAGAGCACTCCTCTCCCTGGACATCCACAAGTCGAGTGGGCCTGACGGAATCCCCCCAATTGTGCTGAAGACGTGTGCTCCGGAGTTGGCACCGGTTCTAACGCGTCTTTTCCGGTACTCCTACTCCCTAGGCGTAGTCCCGAAATCATGGAAGACAGCTTTTGTCCACCAGATCCCTAAAAAATGCGACCGTTCAGACCCGTCCAACTACAGGACTATCGCCATCACCCTCTTGTTCTCCAAAATAATGGAATCCGTAATAAACTGCCACCTCATGCGGTACCTTGAGGATCACCAACTGATTAGTGACCGCCAATACGGTTTTCGTCGGGGTTGATCAGCTGGTGATCTTCTGGTCTACTTAACTCTTAGATGGGCGGAGGCAGTAGAGTCCAAGGGGGAGGCATTGGCCGTTAGTTTGGACATTACGAAGGCCTTCGATCGAGTTTGCTACAAAGCGCTTCTTTCGAAGCTCCCTTCCTATGGGTTTCCCGAGAAATAATGCAATTGGATCACCAGCTTTCTTGCAGATCGGAGCATCAAAGTCGTTGTAGACGGTGCATGCTCCGATAATAAGCCTATTAACGCTGGTGTTCCACAAGGCTGCGTGCTATCACCAACGCTGTTTCTTCTGCATATCAATGATATGTTGCAAACCTGCTACCGGTTCATTGCTATGCGGATGACAGCACTGGTGATGCTCTATACACCGGCCGTGCCAATAATTCTCGGGAAAACGTCGCCGAGTACCGGAACAAACTTGAAACTTGGTCTGAAGTCGAGTCTTTGCTGAACAAAGTCTCGGATTGGGGGCGACTAAAAATAGTCCAGTTTAATCCTCAGAAGACACAAGTTTGCGTGTTTACCGCTAATAAGAACCCCTTTGTCGTATCTCCTCAGTTTCAAGGTACTCCTCTTGTTGCCTCAGCCAGTCGACATATCGAGTGACGTGCAGTTTCGTGGTCACTTGGAAGAGAAGGCCAAATTGGCCTCTAAAAAGCTTGGCGTGCTCAGCAGAGCGGGACAGTATTTCATGCCGACACAACGCCTGCAACTTTACAAGGCGCAGGTTCGGCCTCACATGGAATACTGTTCCCATCTCTGGGCTGGGGCTCCCCAGTGCCAGCTCCTTCCACTTGACCGCATCCAGCGCAGAGCGGCTCGAATCGTCGACGACCGAGTCCTTTCCGATCGGCTCGACTCATTGGCGCTGCAAAGAGATGTTGCATCTCTTTGCATTTTATTTCGCATTTACCACGGGGAGTGCTCTGAGGAATTGTTCGGATTAATCCCAACCGCCAAATTTCACGAACGCACATCGCGGCAGAACTCCCGAGACCATCCACACCACCTGGATGATTGGCGGTCCACCATTATGAGATTTAGAAGATGTTTTCTTCCTCGCACAACTTCCTTGTGGAATAGTTTACCACCAGCGATTTTTCCGGACCGATACGACTTAGGGACCTTCAAGAAAAGAGCCTACTCATTTTTAAAAGGCCGGCAACGCATTTGCAATTCCCCTGGTGTTGCGGTTTTTCGTGGGCGGCGGTAGTCACTTTTTTTATAGGATCGGGTGACAAACGAGCACACAGTTCACCTGATGGTAAGTGGTTACTATGACTCATAGACATCTACATCTATCCTCAATAAAGACTCAAGATGCAGATGCGTTGTCACCCGTGAGGACTAAGATGGAATGCCTCTTTGCCACTAAAAAGGGTCTCCGGTTCTCTACACTCACCATACCAAACACAGCAGCGTTAAACTGCTATTTTACGCTGGTTTTCTGTGAGAACGTGGTCCTTCCCCGGTCGAGCCGACCCATTCGTGCTACAACCATAATATAGCAGCAGCATGGCTCTACCACGTAGGAAAACACTTACCATCAGGTGAGCGGCATGCTAGTTTGCCCCCTCTCCTATAAAAAAAATTATAGTAAATTTATATACTTATGTTAAAAATATACACAATCCCGCCGGGTTTCTTGCTGGTTATTTACAGGACAGACGGTGCCGGATTAACCACGTAGCAAGAGTAGCATTTGCTACGGGCCCAGCGCAAAGGGGGGCCCCACGTGTAAGTTATAATGATATGGTATATTTCATTTTTCTATCTGCTTTAGATAAATGCATGAAAGCATACCAAATTCTTACTGTGTTTTTGGAACATTTCGACACTTAAAATCTATTACAGCACAAGAGATTTTTAAAAGAAACTCCAATTGTGGTCAGTGCTTATGCAAATGGTTTGGAAGAGAGCATAGACGGTGAATTAGTGCAGTTTGCTGAGCGGCTCAAAACTGATATGGCTGTTGCGATTGACAGTACGAATACCGTGTTTGTATTTTAAGTACCCATAGCAGATCAAGGGGAGGGCCCCGCGATAGAATTTGTTACGGGCCTCGCGCTTGCTTAATCTGGCACTGAGGACAGAGGTATATTCCGAACCGGTGGTAAATAAAAAAAACTTTCAATAAGTACTATGTAGTAATCTATATTGGATAAAAAATATTCTATTCCATTATATTGTTCTATTATAGTTTAGACGCTAACGTGAGCCCACCGAATATTGGAGACATTTAAATATCGACATGCATCAATAATTATTTATGGATTCCAGTTGAACGCTCATAGGGTTAAGTTACAATAGAGGTAGTTTATGACTTTATTGTAGGTTGCCCTTTATAAATATGTAAAAAAAACTATTACGTAATTTTTCATATTAAATAACATTTAAAATAAATATGTCATGTGATCCTATGGCTGGCAAAAAGTTATCTAAGCATGTGCTTGTTTATTTTTGATTACGACCACGGTGACAACTTTTGAATATTTTAGAAAGGCATCTGGAGACCATTTTATTATGGTGACAAACTCCTAATCCATTCCACAATAACCAGGCAAAACAACAACCGTGTTATTACAAAAAATAGTTTCTAATTAGTCTCATGTTAAAACTAGTCTTCATAAAGAGAGAAGTCCCGTGCAAAATATGCTAACTAAATTGTTTTGTCGTTCACAGTGCGTACTGCAAAGGATTTCCTGGCATCATCTGGATATAACATGGGTGTCTTTAAAATAAGGCTTATTGTATTATTGAGTGCTTAGGTTCTTTATATTTTAAATAAATTGGATTAAAATTAGTAAAAAAGAAACTCTTAACTAAGTGGCTACTGTAGCCCATAGACACTATTTTTTGCGCTCAGATGCAATGGAAAGGGCTACCCTCCGGAAAGCGATGAAGGGAGGTGGTGAATGCTCTAAGCGTACCACGACAGCCGGCTGTCCTGGTTATGTGAGACTCACTGCGACTAACCTAACCTAAGTGCCTGCCCACTAAACACCACCTGTGAGACTGGCATTGGCTTATGTAGCCTTTCTGCCGCACCAGAGGCGACCCTCTTTAGGGAAAAGGGGGCGCAGGCGGCGACGAGCCGCTGAGGGGGAGGATAGACACTTACAACCAACTTGAATGAAAGAAGTGAAGTAATTAGAGAATGTGCTGTTATCTCTAAGGACGTAAGCTAATATTT